CTGGTGGTTGATTGGCAACAGGTCATTAACATGACTGGGTATAAAATGAGCATCCCAGAGAGGCTGAGTCTTTCAGAAGTAAAGATGGGGGTCTGTGAGAAGAGTTCATCGCTGCATCCACAAATGCAAGATAAAACTCTAAAATGCAAAGGGGAGACCATATATAAACAGGATCCAGAAATGCTGCCACCTTCTCTGGGCCTGATCTCATTTAAAATGCAGGGGAAAAAAGTCCTGTGGTTCGACTAATCAACATTTGAAATTCTTTTTGGAAATCATGTGTCCTCCAGGCTAAAGACCACTCAGCTTGTAACCAGTGCACAGTTCAAAAGCCAGTATTCATGATGGTATAGGGGAGCATTAGTGCACATGGCATGGGTGATGTGCTCATCTGTGAAGGCGCCATTAATGCTGAACAATATATACAGGTTTTGGCAACATATGCTGCCATCCATATGACAAATTTTTCAGCAAAGGCCTTGATTATTTCGGCAAGTCAATGTCAAACCACATTCTGCACACACAGAGGCTTACACACACACAGAGGCCTACACACACACACAGCAAGATCTACATTCACACACACACACACAGACAGAGGCCTACACTCACACACATAGAGATCTACACACACACACACAGAGATCTACACACACACACACAGAGGCCTACACACACACACCTAGAGATCTACACTCACACACACAGAGGCCCATTTACACACAGAGAGATATACACTCACACACACAGATCTACACTCACACACAGAGTGATCTACACTCACACACAGAGATCTACACTCACACACAGTAAGATCTACACACACAGAAAGAGAGAACCAACACAACATAGTGTAATTAACTATCAACCATTAATGTGAATGGTTGAAACAAATGAGTTAGCGTAGTTGAGGTATTACCACAAGTATCTGATCCTTGTGTTGAGCAATGTCGTCACCGTTCAGTGTAGCACGCTTTGTCTATCATTACTGTACTTGCTTGAGAAACCTCACCATGTGGCTAATAAGCCTGGCTAATCAACCATCCAAGCCTAACCAAACCAGTTTTTTACAGTTCCAAGTTCTTCTTCTTATTGTCGCTGTTGGAACAAGGCCTTGTATCTCCAAAAATGCAACTTTACAGGAAAAGGAAAAATGTTCTTAACTTTAATAGAAGTTAATAGAGAGATATATTCCAAGTATTTTCAACCCATTTCTACTTGTCCATTCATCATAAAATCAATAAAAAGATATTTGTATTGTATTTCAGTAGGAAAAAAGTGCTGTCAGTGCATCCTTTGTTTTCACATAGATCATTCCTAATTTGCAGCATAATATATTTATTATTCATAATTTTAAAATCTTAAACAGGTAATCTGAACGTTTAGATTGTTAGAATGTTCAATGCTAGCAGGTGGAGTAGTGTGCCTTGGGAGAATCAACATGTTTATGTCAATATGTTTGAGACATAACAATGTCAAAGTCCCAACAAAGGCCAATTTTTCCAATCACTTTCTTGGCCACAGGTGTATAAAACCAAGCACCTAGGCATGCAGACTGCTTCTACAAACATTTGTGAAAGAATGTGTGGCTCTCAGGAGCTCAGGGAATTCCAGCGTGGTAGCATGATAGGATGCCACCTGTGCAACAAGTCCAGTCATGAAATTTCCTCCCTACTAAATATTCCACAGTCAACTGGTATTGAACAAAAAGTGGTATTAGAACAAAGTGGAAGTGTTTGGGAACGACAGATAACGGCCACATAAAATGACGGGGTCAGCGGATGCTGAGGCGCATAGTGCACAGAGGTCGCCAACTTTCTGCAGAGTCAATCACTACAGATCTCCAAACTTCATGTGGCCTTCAGATTAGCTCAAGAACAGCGTAGAGAGCTTAATGGAATGGGTTTCCATGGCCGAGCAGCTGCATCCTAGTCTTACATCATGCGCAATGCAAAGCGTTGAATGCAGTGGTGTAAAGCGCCGCCACTGGACTCTAGAGCAGTGGAGACGTGTTCTCTGGAGTGACGAATCACGCTTCTCCATCTGGCAATCCGATGGACAGGTCTGAGTTTGGCAGTTGCCAGGAGAACGGGACTTGTCTGACTTCATTGTGCCAAGTGTAAAGTTTGGTGGAGGGGGGGTTATGGTGTTGGACATTGAGTCACTTTACCAAAAAATAAACTAATAACATACATCATCTAGGAGATGAAGAATATTTGAATGCTTCATTTTGTCAAGCATGTAGTTGGTTACAGTTTCGCCCCAAAAGTGTTTTTGCTCCAAAAGTGTCTCGCGGCAACGCCGCATGCTTATTTCCGGTAACGCAGTCTGTTTTTGCACATGCGTAGACTGAGAAATCTGAAAGAAATCAGAGTAAGAGTTTACATGTGCTGAGAAATCTGATTACTTAGCTAAAATCTGGCTCTCTGTATCAGATTTCTTAATCAGATTTCTAGATCTTACTCAGATCTAAGAAATCAGAGTATGCTGTTTACATGACAATTTGAAAAATCAGGTAACTGCAAAAATTTGACTATGATCGGATTATTGAGTGCATGTCAGCGCACTCAGTGATACTACAGTTATCTGTGGCAAGACAGTATATTTGGCTTCGTTCTCTCAGGGTGGGTGGGACGGCCCTCCATCTTGTGGTCTTAAATAAAGACACAAAAAGGAAGAGACTGTAAGCTAAAAGAGAGAAGAGTGATGACAGCATGCAGAATGCACAAATGTGCCTTCCGGGTCTCTGCTTGTGCAATCATATATACAAGTGTAGAGTGAATAAGAGTGAGCAGAGTAGTGATCAACTCACTTACTACTTGAAAGAGTGACCTGCTTGGTCATTTATTTTAGTCAGGATTCATTCTTTGATACTTCATCAGTCAGTTTTTGCCTTAGTCTGTTATTTTCTAGACCACAGAAGAATCAGCAGTGTGACGGGTGAAGCTGTCATGTTTTCCAGAACATCAGGGAATATCACAGCAGCAGTGATCCTCATATTACTGACAGGTAAATTTGTATGTTTTTTAAATATTAATTTGTGTGAACTTAGACGTGCTCAAGCTAGAAAAGGCCTTCAACATGTCCTGTCATTATTTTCACTGGCTAGGTCAGCAGTAATCAAATCCAGAGATTTCGGTTTCCCTACAATAAACCTGGCAGTTAACTGAGTTGAATCAGGTGTGTCTGAGCAGAGAAACTGAAAACCTCTAGAACTAAAGCTGGACACTGGAGCTCCAGCACCAGAACTGAATACATCTGAACTATATTATTTACTAACCTGTTTATAAAAATACATGTGATTGTACAAGTGATTAATAAATGCACCATTTAATGATCTGTTAAAGTTTTGTAAATTTAAATTAGAGTCATTATCAATGTCTGTACATTCTAAACCGTACACAGCTTCATATGAACTGTTTTAAGCTGTGGTCACTTCCTCTGTGGTTTTTACACCACCAGCCAACTTCACACACTCTTGTGTTGCTTATAGCAACAGCCACAGTAGTTCGTCACACTTTGGTCACTCTGTCAGTTAGAGCACAAGAGTTTCCCTCTCATTCCCACCTCACAACTTGTGCTCCGTGTGTGTGTGTGTGTGTGTGTGTGTGTGTGTGTGTTTCAGGAGTTCAGGCTCAGCACAGTGTAACTCTCTCCTCTCAGAGTCTCTGTGCTGCTACTGGATCTTCAGTAAAAATCTCCTGTAAATATACAACAGCTGATTCCTCCAGAGTCAGAGAGAGAGAGTGGTATCAGCTCCAGAGCTCTGATGGAGAAGAACGAGTCCTGAGTAAAGATCCTGAATACGCAGCACGAGTTTCTGTAAGAACAGAGCAGAATGACTGTGATCTGACAGTGTGGGATGTGAGACTGAGAGACTCTGGAGTTTATAACTTCAGATTTAGAACATCAAGCAGTGGCTGGATATCAGCTTCCTCTGGAGTTAATCTGACTGTTACAGGTAAATAAACACTCACTGATGCAGAGTCTGTGTTTTCAAACAAAACATACTGTTAAAATAACAGAAAACAAGGCTCTCTATTTTTCCCCTTTATTTCTGTCTGAGAAGCTGATCTTTACAATGTATGAAAATTTCATGATGAATGGACCAATAGAAATGCATTGCTTAAGGCATTAAGTTAATACATTAACTTACATTAAAAGTAAAGTAAAAGTCATTGCCTTCTCCAGTAAATGTGACATTTTGGAGATTGTTTTTGAGAAGCTTTTTTCTCACTGACTGACTGATTGACTGACTTGTGACCAGGAGAGGTCCCTTTGTTGAAATGTGCAGTGTGAGGAGTGCAGCCAGACATGTTTCAGTATAACGTCAGTTAAAAAACAGTGTATCTCAGACTGCTGCAGAGGCGAGAGGTATCTTATTTATGGAGACCAGAAAGCTAAACTTGCTGTTTTGTGTCAAAGTCTAGGCATGGCAGGTGGATGTAAGTGCAAGCTAGACAGAGCACAACAGAGCATGAGACAACTAAGAAAACAAGCAAGACTGAACAAGAGGTAGACTACAACACAGGAACAGTCAATGTTAAATATGCTGCTTGCTAGAGAGAGGGAGTGCCCTCAGGAATCTGCCACAGTATCTTGGGGTGCGGGACTAATTTTCAGTGTTGGCGCGGGAGCAAGTGGGAAACCAGCCCACCTTTTTTGAATGGTCAAAAGGAGACAGTGAAGAGTGACACTTCAATCCACATATAAGGCGAAAGATAGGTAAAAAGAAGTGAGTAAGATGAGAGAGAGAGAGAGAGAGCATGCAAGAGAGAAAGAAAGAGGCAAAAAAAAAAAAAAACATGTAACATTGTGGTTTAATTCCTGCTTTGTGTTTACTGGTAATAAATGACGTTTGGTGAAGTTACTTCACGGTGAGCCTGATGACAATGACTGCTGTGTTATTTCAGCAGAGAATATGTATTTGTGAACAGACTATGTCAGATACTGAATGTCAGTTCGCCTTGGTGGAACTGCTCGGGTGGGAGCGGGTCAAAATGTTTCGGGTGCAGGCGAGAGCGGGACAAATGATTCAGATTTTCTGCGGGAGCGAGTGGGAGCGGGATGAAATCTTATGGGAGTGGGTGAGAGTGGGACTGAAAAAACAGTCCCACGCAGACCTCTACTGCTTTCTAATGTAATGCTAAATGCTAATGCTGATACAGACCACAGAGAGACAACAAAAGAAGCTAGATGTTAGCTGCACTGTCAATAGCTTAGCTGTGGCTTAGAGTTTAACCCGAGTTTGAATCTGAATGAATCACATGGATTTTTAAACTCTATTCCTGTGTCGCTGGAAGCTGCAGTTCAAAGCTCACCTGCAGTCTGAACTAAACCCAGTTGCTGTGTCATTTGAAAATCACTGTCTGTTACTAGATGGTGCTGTATATCAGTCTTAACCTAGGTTTATCTTAAACCTACTATGGACATGATTTTACTGAAGTTTAAGGAAAGATTTTTGTAACCGAAGCACAATTTCAGCTCAGATGTTTTAATATTCTATACCTAGAGGCCTATCTACCATCCGTCATGGTATGTTTTAATTTAATGTAATGTAATATCACTCAAACACACACTGAGGTACCACCTTATTTTCTTAAACTGGTCCAGAGAGAGTCCATAAATTATCAAGAGTGTTTGGGAAGGTCCATCCCGTTAAAATACAATACTGTTATTTATTATAATTTTTTAAAATGATTTATGTATAAATAAAACCAGAATGTATATAAGATAATGTCTGCAGCTGTTGAAGACGGTTTACTTTTGTACTGCTTACTTTACTTTGTTACTGAATGTGTGGATGGGCAGTGTGGGCAAGCTGTAGCAGTCACACCGCAGCACCCAGCAGAAACAGAAGGGTTTGCCAGCTATTCAAAACTAGGATCAATGTACGTTTATAAGACGATTCTTTGTGTTCAAACCTTTTTCCATGGCTGCAATTAATGTAGAAAGATGTCCAAACAGAAAATGTACACCAGCTAGCGCTATGATTGGTTGAACTCTTCTTCTTCTTTTGTTTTCGGAAGGCTAGACGTTGCTGCCTCTTGCTATTATATCTGAGTGCTGCAGATGCACAACTGAACTCACAGACTTTGCCAGCTTTTTGCGTAGAGTGAGAAATAGTATCAGCATACTTTGATGTCAAAATGCATACCTGCTATGCAAAATGTGTAAAGGTTGACAGGTCTGACAGTGGACCACTAAAAGAAAACGTTACTGTTATATCTTTTTGATCCTACAAGAATGACCGTCTCCCTGTTGTTTAATTGCAGTTGACACTTGTGTAAGAAATGCTGTGCAGCTAATGGTGGTTTGGCAAAACTATGTATGTATGTAATGTATGTTTGTAGATTTGCAGGTGAAGGTGGATCATAAGACTGCAGGACGGAGAAAGATAAAAGTGACCTGTAGCTCCACCTGCAGCCTCAGTGGAAACTTTAACTACCACTGGTACAGAAATGGAGAATACAAGACACATACAGATGTTGCCTACACTGTGCTGGACTCTACCAATTCATCTCATGAGGGCAGCTACTACTGTGGGATGTATGACAGCAGCGATAAGTGGCATCTGTCTCATTCAGTGTGTAAGTGTCAGTCACCAAATCTCAGATCACTCAGACTCCATATTCTGGTGTGCCTTTCAGGCGTAGCTACATGCTAAAATTTCTGTATTGTTCATTTTTTTTATTTACTTTAATTTTTAGGTAATGATCAGGAAAACTGTTGTAACCTAATGCAGCATTAAAGCTAAACAAAACTTACAGACATTAAACACAACAAGCATAATGATTGTATGAAATAAAATTTTATCTGTATCTGCTTTAATTTACTTTTCCTGTAGAGTTCATCATCTGAGTTCCATCTTGCTGACTGTGTGTGTTACAGGTGTTTTGGGTAAAGAGTGTTGGGGTGTGACTTACACTCCTGAACGTGTGTGTGCTCTGAAAGGATCATCAGTTGATCTCTCCTGCTCTTATAAACACCCTGGAGGACACACAGTGACTAGATCAGTGTGGTTCATTAAAGAGCAGGCTGGTGCTGAGCCTGTGGATGTGAGAGAAGATGAGGAGTATCAGGGACGAGTGCAGTACAGACAGAGCTTCCAGAATGACTGTAGTATGAGAATCACTCACCTGAGAGAGAGAGACGCTCAAACATACAGATACAGATTCTACACTGATGGAGGTGAATACACTGGAGAACCTGGAGTCACTCTGTCTGTCACAGGTAGAGCTGCATAACATCAAATTAGATTAGTTAACTATAAAACTATAGCATCAATTTAAAATATGATAAACCTTGTTTTAAAACAAACCCTGCAGATCTGGAGGTAACAGTGTCAGAGATGCATCAGGGGAGAAAGGTACTGAGATGTAGCAGCAACTGCACTCTGCCCCACAACCCAGCTTACATCTGGTACAAGAATGGACAGCCTGTTTCTAATCAGTATAGTAATGAACTGTATCTGACTGACAGAACTGTGGAGGCAGGCAGCTACTCCTGCGCTGTAAGAGGACACGAGAAGCTCCGCTCACCTGCTGTCTGTAAGAACGTCAGTTTAAACTTCACTCACTCTGTCATCATCTCAGTCTGTAGGATTACAGTTACACATAGTGAAGAGTTACCGATGTTAAAGTGTGGAAAACACTATGTATGATATTTCATTTATCTAACAAGTTTGCCTAAAAGTTGGAACAGAAATGTTCTGATTGTTATTTATAGGCTCTCTTCAACTTTGCCTTTACAAGAAGTCTCTATTTTTATGAAGCATGCAGTTGGCCAGTGTTCTAGAAATATTAAAGATGTATTCAGTGTGCTCAGGAAACCTCACTGACACATCATTTTTGCAATGACAGATCACCATATTGCCCACCACTCTCAGCATATTTGATGTAACTGAGTTGAGTGTTTGGGTATTTATTTAATTGAGTTTGTGTTTCACATTTTTCTTTAATTCACTTTGTGTGATTCAAAAGTTTTCACTATGTTTTTGTGTTTCAGGTGTTTTTGATCAGAACAGCTGCTGGAGTGTGTCTTACTCCACCCAGAATATCTGCGCTCTCATTGGCTCATCAGTGGACATCCATGGTTACTACACCTTCCCTGGTGAGCAGCTTGACCCCCAGCCTGCCTGGTACAAAGAGCTGAGTCCTGCAGACGGCAGAGTGGAGTTTTTCAGTAACAGAGTTAATATGAACACATTGAGAATGAAACATCTCAGAGAGAGTGACTCAGCAGAATATCTCCTCCGTTTTAAAGCTCCCTACTGGAATCACACACACAGCTCTGCTGGGGTCTCTCTCTCTGTCACAGGTAGGAGAAGTGTGTTCTGATTCTGCTTGTGTCTCAGTGTTTACGGTCTGTGTGAGCTGTAAAGACACTGATGGGGGTCTGTTACAGGCCTGCAGGTGAAAGTGGAACCTGTTCCAGTCACAGTGTCAGAGGAACAGACAGTAACACTGATGTGTAGCAGCACCTGCACTCTGCCCAACAACCCCACTTACATCTGGTACAAGAACAGACAGCCTGTGATTCACAGCAAATCTGCCTCATGCTCTGTAGCTGTGGTCAGTGGTGTGGTCAGCTACAGCTGTGCTGTTGAAGGCCATGAGAGCCTCCTCTCTCCTCCAGTGTGTGAGTGGGCAGTTTTACTCAATCTTCTGCAGTACATTATCATATACAGTTATGCTTCAATTTACAAATACAGTAGTGAGATTTATTTAGAAATGAACGTGAATTACTCCTGATCAGTGACAAGGCAATTTATTAAATAAAAATGTGTTGGTACTATAATATCTCAGCCAATATATGTTACACCTTTCCAATCAGATTCTCCAAGAAACACCAGTGCAGTGATCATTCCCTCTGGAGAGAGAGTGGAGGGAGATTCAGTGACTCTGAGCTGCAGCAGTGATGCAAACCCTCCTGTTCTCACCTACTCCTGGTTTAAGCAGAGAGCAGCTGCAGACGCACCGCTGACAACAGGCCAGAATTACACCATCACCAATATCAGCTCCCAGCACAGTGGACTCTACTACTGCACCGCTCACAACCAGCTAGGACTGCACAGCTCAACACCCACCAGTCTGGATGTGTTACGTAAGTACTTTAAAGGACTTCAATAACTAGGATGTTTAATTGTTATAAGGGGCCAATTTCCCTCTAATCAGAATAAAACAGGAATGATGTTTCTCATAAACTACTGTTTCTAATAATGTTTCTCATTCAGTACAGTTTATCTAATCAGTGTAAAAACTGGTGACCTCTTTTATCCTTTGTATTAAATAGACTGGATGCACATGTTCCCCACATCAGCCAGTAAGACTGTAATGAGTTTAAAATGTTCAACATTTCAGTCCTTGTTCAGTACTGCACTGTGTGTGTGTGTGCATGTGTGTGTGCGTGTGTGTGTGCGTGTGTGTGTGTGTGTGTGCATGTGTGTGTGCATGTGTGTGTGCGTGTGTGTGTGTGTGGTTTTTAAAGACTCAGCTGAGTTGTGGAAGCTGAATGCTGTTTGGGGAGCTGTTGCAACCGTTCTTGTTCTGGCTGTCTCTCTTCTTACTGCTGTTCTGTGCATTAAGTGAGTGACTGTATTCTTTAGATTTTACTCTGAATATCTGAACCTTTCATTAAATATCAGATTAAAACATCATCAACTTTAGACTCAAATAGAAGCTCTTATGCTGGATGTCTTCATTAAATGTAATTTGTGTGATCAGGAGGAAGAGAGGAGCAGAGAGAGACTCAGATATTCAGGTACTGAGAGAGGATTTCATTGTTTCTCTATCTACATACTCCTGTAAAGCTGCTACTGAATAAAGACTGAAGTTGTTCTCATTTCTCTAAAAGACTCCAGATCCTGCAGACCACACATACACAGCTCTGAATCCCACCACCATGACCTCAGATTACGACACTCTACAAGTAAGTCTGCGGTCTTTATACTTCTGTGTGTGTGTGTGTGTGTGTGTGTGTGTGTGTGTGTGCGTGTGTGTGTTACCCTGCAGAGTGTGTTTAGTTATGTAAGTTTTCAATTTTGTCTTCAGCATCTTACAGACTCTCCCAGTGACACATACTCAACACTAAACCCTGAAACCATGAGCTCTGATTACGACACTCTGACAGTAAGTCTGCAGTGGGAGAGTTTCTTTCTCATGTTTGTGAATGTGTGAGTTTGTTTGTGTTTGTGTATTTACTAGTTGGAATATATAATAGTTTCTGTGATGTGATTTTTTTCAGGCTGTTCATCCTCACGGAGAGAAGAGAAGAGCTCCAGAGATGAAGAATGAAAACTTTTATGGAGATCATAACAAGCCAGATACTGTCTTAAAGTAATATTTGTCACCTGAGTTACTTATATTTCTTAAGTATCTTTTTCCTGTGTTGTACAAATTCACATAATAATAAGCCAGAATCAGGCAGTTCTGCCAATTGTCAATAGATTTGGATGCTTTGGGCCATGTATGGATATAGGAGATATATCAGTGTTTACCACTTAGTTTATTTGTATATTCATATGTTTTATGCTTCAAACATTGAATTAAAACATGTACTTTTTTAAGCAGGGGTCTCACACTGAGGTCCTGGATGGTCACAGAGATTCACAGCTGTCACAAACTGCAGAGTCCACTGTTTTCCCTCTTTAACACTGTGCAGTGCTGTGGCTCTCCAGGACTGGAGTCTCCCTGTTTTTATCATTGTTTTGTGTTGTTTTATATTTTATTATATTTTATATATTGTTTTATTGATTTTTCATTATTATTCTGAACAGTTGGTGTGAAAACACACTGAAATAAAGCTTTGAAGCAGCTTTTAGATTCTGTTTTTAGTTATTACTTATTCATGTTTAGTCCACTATGCAGCTTCTGCTCTTCTACAAGATTGCAGTGACAGCAGGGAGGGGAAGAGACCAGAGCTGAAAGATGAATTTTTAGATCTGGCTCTTGCTTTGAGACGGTCATTCAGGTGATTAATTGTCAGGGACAAAAATGTGAAGAGATGAGCTGAACCTACAATAATGAATTTATTTATTTATTTATGAAAGATTCATTTGAACTATAAACAAGCTGAGTTTGAACTAAAGCACTTTAGAATCAGTACAGATGATTTGGCTTGATTTGCTCACTGGGGGCAGCGGTGTGTGTGCTGAAGTTCACAGTAGCGTGCTGTAGTGGACACCACCTGGTCACTTTACAAAACGGCTTTGTTTACAAGACCTCTCCCTGAGCCCTGAAAGCTAATAGCTTTGGCAACACAGAGTCACATGTTAAGATATTCACTCCAAATGTTAATCACTCATCCTGGTTTGTCACCAGAAGATCGGACATACTAAAAACAAGGTTGTGTCATATCGTTATGAATCTATCAATTTAACAATGTCATTGATGTTCCAAACATGGATCCATAGCTCCATCAAGTGACTGAAATAAGACATGCCAAACTGTCACAAAGAGAAGTCCAGCCTGCTGTCACCCAACCTGCCACCTCACCCGCCACCATGAAATACAAGCTGCCCCTGGTTGCTGACTGAGGGCTCTTCGAAAATCTGCCTGCCCCGCAGGACCACGCAGAGCACACCCACAATGCAAGAGTGTCCAAAGACCCATCCTATACTACCGAAGGTCCAGTTTATCTTCTCGACAAAAGTAAGGTCGGGGTTTCGCTTTCTTACGCTCAGGTTTTGAGACTGTTTGATTTTATAGGTTTACACCCCTTTTATAGATATACATACATAAATACATAAATATATTAGCTCACTTTAGGCTTCACTTACCTTCATGCTAAAAGTTTCTGAGTCGCCCTTAAGGAGTGCCTTAAGCCGCAGTGCTTAACACCATTACAGTGATTGATCACATTATCAAGTTAATCAACTATAACATTTAAAAATGCAGTTTGAATCTTGTTTGATATTTAGCCCAATAAATTGCCTTTTGATTGAAGCATCTTTAGCGTGAGCGTGTTTCCTCTCTTCCTGTGGTCTTTGGGTCATTTGGGATTGATGACTCTGCGCCCTGGAATCTCATTTGAGGTCACAATGATGAAACTGCTTGTTTTCTCTGCACTACTGAACACTGAGAGAGATAAATAACATTATGTGAATGAAATTATATCCGATCCTCCTCTCTAACACGCTGACCTGTCCACTCTCCTCAGAGCTCCTGTGGACTCATGTAGCTGAGCTGCAGTTTCTCCTCCTGAGAGACAAACAAACAGCACATTAATTAAAGAGGATAAAACTCAGTTTAGTGCAGCTCATGTTGAACATCTTCACTGATCACACAGCTCATCCACAGAGCTGCTGTGATGAGTGTTAGAGCCAGAAAGACTGACACTCCCACTGTGAGCAGCTTTAACACTGAGCTCTGCTCTGAGCCTTCAGCTCCTTCACTAATAAACTGCAGTATAAATTACAGATATATGTGATTCATTTATGCTCTCTGTGCTCAACATGAACATATTCAATAATTCATCCCAGAGCAGCGTCACTGTGAGCTCTTACAGAGAATCTAAAGGGACAGTTCTGCCAACATACTGATGTTCTGTAATAACAGCATTTGCTCACTGCAGCCATCCAGTGACTAAATGATGTTATTACACCTACAACGACCATTTCAGATCTACAAAAAAACTAGTTTATACAGGTTCCTCATAAACTCTGGACAATAATTCTGTCACGCTCAGGTTTGCTCTGACCAGACTGTGAGTGGAGGATTAATTTGTCAGACAAAATAGAAAACATTAAATCCTCTGTTCAGCTGTTTAGTTCATTATTACTGTTTGTGCTGCATTAAAATAGATCACATTTCCAAAAAGTCACATTTTTCAGACTGTATAAATAAATAAAGAAAAAAAGAATAAAATGACCAGTTATGGTCAATAAGAGGTGATGGAGTTCAGCACACTGGACAGCTCCAGGAGAGAGACTCAACACAGAAAAATGATCCAGAGTTGAGACTCTCTGACTTTAACATTGATGCCCAACAAATCAACAGACGCTCCTTTGAGGGACTTTATAGGTGGAGTGATTAAACAGTATTCAGAGGTGATAATATATTTAATATTAATGTTTCAGGAACTGAATGTTGGTTTTAGAAACACTAGATTGTTCCATAAACAGATCTTTACACATGTGTTTAATTATGATTTATTAAATATGAGTTTTATGCAGAGTTTTGTCTTAAACTGTAATTAAAATGGTTGTAGGTGTAATAACATCATTTAGTCACTGGAGGGCAGCAGTGTGTGTGCTGAAGCTCACAGAAGCTCACTGAACACACACTGAGCTCTCAGATTTCAGTTATATTATTACTTGTTAAGAGATTTTTCTTTTTCTTTTTTCATTCTCCTCCTTTTTATTCCTTATTAGCTTATAAATGTCATGATAGTATCATGATTGAGGACTTCTGGTTATTCCAACCCCTAATAATTATAGACGTAATTGACCAAAGTAAAGAAAAATACCTGGTAAAGGATGTTAGATTACTAACAGAGCTAACTTAGAGACTGGAATTTAGCTAATTATCTGCTAATTAAACTAATATCTAATGACTATCTGCTAATAAAACAGTGTGATGGGTAAATCAACCTGTCTGTATGTCTAAAAAGCACTAACAGACCCTCTCAGCACAGATTTCTCTCTTTATCCTTCTCTTTCTATCTGCATTCGTCTGTGTGATGGAGTTGATAACTGATGGATGCAGTTAACAGTGAGACCTGCGGAAGGACACTTTGATGACCGTCCACACAGACTGGTTAGCTTTATTAGCATTATTAGCTAAAGCTAATCTCACTGCATCAGTTTTAGTGCAGTGACTATGAGAGATTATTGTGTTGTTAAAGTGATTTGACATGTTGTTACTTTATCATGTTCTGTTTCATTTCTATACAGATAAACTACATTAGCTGTTCAGTTGTTTATCTCCCTCTTTACTCTTTAGTCCACACTGTGAAGAACAACAACACTGAAAAAACACAAGTAAACAAACTGTATAAAATAATAATTTATTGTGTAAAAATGACAAATAGCTCTCTGCATTAAAATTGACTTTTGGTAAAAAATGTTTCATTTTAATAGTTAATAAACTTATGAACAACAGAAACTCTTTTAAGAAGTAAATAAACACATGAACTTGTATTGTTTATAGGCATCTAAGATTCTGCTAATCACGTTTGTTTTGTTATTTATGTTTTCACTTATTTGTTTATTTTTACACAGCTGTAGAACTGTGGATCATGTATTTAGTGAGTCTGTAAATTTAATCATTGTTCTCATTTCAGTTTAATTCAAAATATATTTATGTAGCGCTTTTTATAACGGGCTCTGTTACAAAGCAGCTTTACGGAAAATCCGTGTCCGAGCCCCAAATGAGCAAACTAGCGGTGACAGTGGCAAGAAAAAACTCCCTAAGAACAAGAGGAAACCTTGAGAGGAACCAAGACTCAAAAGGGGAACCATCCTCCTCTGGTCGACACCCGATCTCAAGATTTGATTAATAAATAATTTGATTTTAAGAACTAATTTTTAAAATAATTTTGGGGCCTCTACAGCTTTCTCATCATTTTAGACTCTAGAATCTATTTTTACAGCTACAAGTAATATAAAGTTGCATAACAGTTATAAACATTTTTACATTTATCTGAAACTGTATGAGGAGGAGACGACAGATCCAGTGTGAGACACTGCAAATGTAAATATCTTCCTAAATATCTTACAAACATCCAGATCTCCTGTTACAACAAATAAAACCCAGAAACACAAAGCAAATTGAAATGAACCTTAAGTTTCTCATCTCATTACACAAACATGCACAAATGCACTAAACCTGTTCCACTTTATGTGAACAGCCCCCAACAGATTATCTACAGATGTTCAAACTGTTAACAAACTACCAAACTACTGTTAACAAACTACCTGAAACTCAGTAAATACTCAACAGTATTGGAGGGTTTTCGGACCAGGGTCAGCTTTAGATTAAGACTTTAATTTGATGCTAAGGTCAGAGTGAGGATTAGGACCAAATTTAGTTAGTGAGTTAATTTAGTTACTTAGCAGGTTCCAGTTTATTTGAAGAGCCCCCGGTAGATTATCTACAGATATTCAAATTATTATCAAACTTTGTGGTGACACAGTGTTGGGGTTAGTATTAGGATTTAGTTGCTATTTAGTTGATGCTAGATGCTTGGTGAGCATCTACAGTGGACTATCCAAATAAGGTGTTACCACTTAACTTAGTGTAAGACTGAAGTTAACTAAGCTTAGTCTAAAACAGCTTAACTTAGTGTAAGGCAACTTGACTTAAATGGTTCAACTTTATTTGAACAGCTCCCAATAGATTATCTACAGATACTGAAATTGTTAAACTATTTGGTGAAACTCAGTAGATTTTAAACAGTGTTG